TTCTGTAGTCACTACTTTCAAGAAAATATCAAGGAAATGCCTTCTTTCTTGCCAGGATGGTTTTCTTTCTTTCTTTCTTTCTTTCTTTCTTTCTTTCTTTCTTTCTTTCTTTCTTTATTATGTATACAATATTCTGTCTGTATGTATGTCTGCAGGCCAGAAGAGGGCACCAGACCTCATTCCAGATGGTTGTGAGCCACCATATGGTTGCCGGGAATTGAACTCAGGACCTTTGGAAGAGCAGGCAATGCTCTTAACCACTGAGCCATCTCTCCAGCCCCCAGGATGGTTTTCACACAGTGAAAAATGCAGTCTGCGAAGTTGTCATGAGAATGTGTGTCATCAGCACCCGGAACCATCTCATGAAAGGAGTGAAAATAATTGGGGCCCTGTTACAGAAGGTAAGAGTGGCTGGCTGCGAATGTAGAAACAGGAGCTTTATTAAAGTCACTTCCGGGAACTGGTTTACATTTTCAAGATTTTTTAAAACTGAAAAACACGAAAGACTTAATGCAATTGAAAAGCCAATCAGCTACCTTCAACCTAGTTTTGTAAGAAAACGGAAATAAAACATTCAAGAGATCAGAAAATGGTTACATAGGTGATCATACAGTCGTTACAGTTATTTGCAGGGAAATGGCCTTGACACCTACAAATGACACTGGGAAATTTGACTGACAGCTGATGTAGAAGAGTTCTTCTCCCCACAATCCCAAACACACATGCTGTATACGACAGCAAGTCATAACACCAGAGACGTGAGCAAGCTGAGGGAGGGAAAGAGAAAGAAAGGGCTCTAAGCCGGGGTGGACTTGGGAAGATTGTTCTCCAGGACAGCCCTACACAAGCCAGGGTGAACTTGGGAAGATTGTTTTGCAGGACAGCCTCCCACAATCTTGGGTTAAAAATCTGCTACTTGGGGGCTGGCAGAGGTGTGAGGTAGAAACCGTTCAGTCTCAAGCACCCAACAAAGTTGACTTCCCTTGGCTTCTGCTGCTTTCTCTGACATCTGCCTTCTCTGTCACACATGATTCTTTGTCTCTGTCTCTCCCTCTCCCCCATGTCTCTCTCTGCGTGCCTGTCTATCTGTCAAAGTTTCTTTCAATAGAAATACCAGTTCTATTGGAGCAGGGACCCACCCAACTCCAGTGTATCTTTACCTGGTCTGGCAGAATCTTATCTCCAAGTTCACATTCTGGATAACAGGGTTTTAATTTTATCATATCAGTAGTGGTGGTAGTGGGGATCCACCTCACCCCAAGCCCCAAATGTAAAATAACTATTAGATTTTTTTTTTTTCTGAGACAAGGTTTCCCTGTGAAACAGTTCTGACTACCCTAGAACTCTCTCTATAGACCAGTATGGCCTCAAACTCACAGAGATTCGCCTGCCTCCCCCTCCCAAGTGCTGGGATTAAAGGTATGTGCCACCATCACCCGATGTCAGTTTTTTTTTTCCCTAAAGTCTCTCTGTTCTGCTCATAACCAGACTATCCCAGACAAACACGATGGCCTTTATAGGCCTTGCACCAAAGCCACACCAGTGTCATGCAAGCTCCCACTCCTCAGCAACTAGAAAGACACGGACCTTGTCTCTCACAGACTCCCAGGACTCCTGTGTGCTCGTGTAGAGCTGAACAAGCAGGAACCTCACCACTGTGCATGTCCAGTTGTAGTGTGCTAGAGTTCTCAGAATTGAGCAACGCACACATACAGCTTTTTTAGGGTTGTGGCTATCAGGCTGGGACAGACCTGTGCCACGTGTGGGAGGGACTTGGGTTAGTTCTTCTAATTCTCAGCAGATAACACCAGACAGCTAATCTTTGCTCACCACTTCACTCTTTGGCCAAATTCCTGGCTTTGCTACTTTTGTGGCAGCTTATTAGCCACACAGGCATAGTTTTCGTTCTCAACAGTTTTCGGTGCTGTCTCTGTGTGTCTGTCTCCACAGATGGGGAGGTGCTTTTAAAAAAGCTTATTTGTTATTAATTGTTAATTCTTAAAATCTGACCTACTATATTGAGGTATTTTATAATTCTTACTTTTGGTTATGAAATTCTCATCTGAAACAGGAAGAGCGCAGACAAAGGCAAAAAATAAGTAAAAGGAAAATTTCTGTCTTAGAAACTTCTGTGTCTACAGAGAAGGATTCTTTAGTGTGTGAAGTTTCCTAGAAAGCCAGGGAACTGGACAATCAACCATACAGGCTCCCAGCAGGAAGGCTGGTCCCAGCAGCTTTCTCCAGCGGGGTATCAATGCCAGCGGCCCAGTCTCCTATGCAGGCTTGGACTCCCCAAACTGTGGATCCCATCTCTCGTCATCCTCTTTTCCCTCTGGAATCTATTCAGGGAGAATAAATCAGCCACAGGGAACAAGAAAAAAAATGAAATTCCAACTGATGTGTGGTTATAAACCCTATTCAATATAGTCTAATTTAATTCAATTGAAACCAATCACAAATATCCACCTGAAAGGAAGAAAGAAAGAAGAAAGAAAGAAAGAAAGAAAGAAAGAAAGAAAGAAAGAAAGAAGTAGAAGGTACCAAAGCATGGTGGGAGCAAGCTGTGAGCCACAGCAAGAATTGCTGTTTAAATGATTCATTAGGAGAAGCCCGGCTGGGCACAGAAACAATACAAACTGTGGGTGGCGACGGGTAGGTTAGAACTCCTTCAGGTTACTGGGGTTCAAAAACAAATGATACAATTAAAGGCATCTTTCTTTTCAGACGTCTAGGGTCTTCCAGGGGGCCTAGGGAGCTGCTCAGACTCAGCCCCTGCTCTGAAAAGGAAGTTCTTCTGTGTGGGTGGCCAGAGCGGCTGCTTGTGGCACTGTCTTCTCAAGGTCCTCAGCAGAGGGCTCAGTGACAGTCAGCTGCTGTCATTACGTTGTGTTTCAGTGAGGCTGCTCTGTGCTAATCACAGACATGGGAATTGTCCTTAGGATGACCCAGGAATGAGTCAGGTGATTTGAAACCAAGGCCATTTTCAAAAGAGGTGCTGATGAGAATCAGGATGCCTTCAGGATCAAGAGAAGCTAAGAAAGTGGGGCACATTTTAACCACTAAAGTTTCTTACACTGTGAGGCCATCAGCAAACTCACCGAGTTTACTTGGAATCAACATTCCACGGTGGGGGAGGGGAGCGTGCATCACTGAATATTTTAGAGAAGATGCTGAGAGTCATTTCTGGGTGTCACAGGAAGGACTGCTCTACTCTTAGTTTCTAAAGTGGAGCCTCTAGAAGGCTCTGCGGTCTATCGGAACACCCCCATCCTCATCCTGCATTTGTGATGCTAGTTCTTCTGATAAAGTTCTTATAGCAGTGTGGGTATCGGCCAGATGTGTGCCAGACACACCCGAGCTTGACCGTCATCCTAAAGCCACCCTTGGGCTTGAGAACCCTCAGTGTCACAGACTTGTCCGTGATCCAGCTGCCGTGAAGTTGAATCCTTATACTTGGAGGACTCTCGGGGGCTGATACAGACTTAAGATGAGGCAAGGTAATGTCTTTGCAATCAGTGGTTCTAATGCTGCAAACTCTGATAAATCTTTACAGACACTCAGTTCTCTCCTTATCCGACAATAGAAGCTTAAGTCACAGCAGAAGAAAGAGACAGTCATCCCTCTGCCAGAATGCTGTTCTAGCATTCAGCCACCTTCACGTTTCCTTCGAAAAAGGAGCGTAAACCGCGTATGTTTTAATTCCTTCCTGGAGCAGGGATTCAGTGCTGGGAAGTCTTATGGGACAGTGGTGGCCCTGATCATCAAAACAATAAAAATAATGTCATGTAAAGTATTTTGCAGTATTGTTTGTTCGTTTTATCTGTAGCATTCTGTCCTCCAGGTTCTGGTGTTCTGAAGTCTAGGACACAGGACCCTGTGAAATCTTTATTTTACCAGGCACTTTAGATTTACCTTTAAGATTAAACCTTTCTATATAACTTATCTGATTACTATGTGAGTGTGCCTCTGAAGAATTTGGAGTAACACTTGCTTTGATATTTTCACCATATTAAAAACAGTAGATCTGCCACTGTCTCTTGTGAGGATGGGGGACCTGTTATGCCTCCACTTTAGGACAAGAGAGGCAAAGTATGCCCACTTGTGGGCAAGACAGAGCAGGTTGGTGTGTGAGAAAGCAGAGCGGGTGTTACACGTGGGAACACTGGGTCTTGGAGCTTACCTTTCCTTTGGAGGAATGTGAGTATCCTGGAATCCTTCAGAGACTCCTGACCCAGAACACTCCAGAATGATCTGGTATCCTTGGGCTGACGGGTGCAGTTGGAGATAAAGCCCTTCCCTGAATATTCTACCCTTTGCTGTCATTCTTGAAACTTTTACACTGCCAACGGAAGACACGTTTAATTCTAGAAGCTGGAAGTGACTCTGCAGCCACCAGAACATGACTTCCAGGGGAGCAGACCTGGGGACATGGCATGCTAGCCCTCGTTTGACACAGCACACTCATGCTGTGGGTGGAATTTTTTATATCTTTTTCTTTGAGTAGCAACTGGATTTCAGGAACTTCTTTGGGAGAATAGCTATTTGGCGGAATAAATGCCTAAAACACACGAGAAGGCCATGGACGCAGCCCTGGATATTAACATCACTTGGTTTGCCACAGTCTTCCCTGGCTCTTCACACTCCTTGGTCACATTCTGTCTCCTTCTCCCTCACTGGGACCCTCTGTTTCCGTCTCTATAGAAAACACCAGTGTCTGATAACAAGTTAATTAACCAGCTTCACTACCCATGCTCACGTCAATCCCCAATTTTAAGAACTTCAGTTAGGGTCATGCATGGGGTCCCGATGGCTTCACAGGAAAGAGTTCTTTTTGTTTTTGTTCCCCAATTTAATTATAAAAACTACAAAGGGGATAAAGGTCACTTCTTCACACAAACACTAAATTTCAATGTGAAACCAATTGAGACACACAGAGAAACATCCCATAGTTCAAGAAGGTTAAAGCAATTTGTACTTTAATTATCCTCCGCATTCTGGCGCTCTGGCTGAGACAGAACATTACTTTAATCTCTTACTGTCTTTGACCAGTAAATTATTTTAGAGATAATGTTAGCTCAGGTCCTCTCTTAGTCTAACATTTTATATTTTTCGAAATAAGTACATTTAAAATTACTTTGGCACTTGGGTCATCATTGAATTAAATAAACTTAATAATAATCTTAAATCTACTTAAAATATACATAAAGAAATATTCTCTTATCTCATTTTTTTATTTTAAATATGTGACAAGCATAAAATAATCTCCAATATGTACATATAGTTATTTATTTAGTTATCATAAAGCAAGGGTAAAGCCATTTGAAGTCTTATCAACTTGGAAATGGATAGTCACAGGTCTTGTTTTTATATTGATTTTAAAAGCAATATTTTTATTAATTCTTTGAGAATTTTATATAATATATTTTGACATATTCATCTCTTATTCCCCCTCTGTGACTCCAGATCCACCTTACCTCCCATCCCCTCCCGAATTTATGTCCTCTTTTATAAAAACATTCATTATTTTAAGGCTTGCTATAAAGAAATGTCAGAGTCAAATATAGTCACACAGTCCCTCAGTCACTCACATCTAGAAAGCCCTCTATTTGGTTTTCTGAAGTTTTATCAACAAGGGAAGCGCTCAGTGGGTGGATTGGAGGAGTTTATTGGCTCACAGTTGCACATACTGTTGCAGTTCCTTTCTGATTTCCACTGAAGGAAGGGTCTGTCGTCATTTTCCTCCTCAGGGCTCTCTGGCTGCAGAAACATCTCTTTGTGACCTTTGTGTGCTCTCTGAAGGAGTCAGTTTAACACTGTCAGACCAATTACTTGGAATAATTCAAATGCAACTTGCTATTCAAAATAGGAGGTACTTTGGGTTGTCTTATACATCTAATAATGGATGTGTATCCTTTTGTACACTTGCGTGTGGCATTTCTGAGTGTGAGCTTTCTTAGTGTGGGAAAAGCACCTGCACCACTAACAGGGAACTGTGTATTGCCTGTCTGGCAAGGAAGGAGAGGGGTACGATTTGCTGGCCTTTTAATTATTTAAAAGAATGAAACTGGGATTCAGTCTTTAGGATGATAAGGAAGCTTGGATTTCCCAGGGAATCGCTTAAGCCTTTCAACGATAACCCTGTGAACAAAATATAACAGAATCGAAGAAGTCAGTCTTAAGGGACAGCGCATGAACTCAGTTGAAATTTTGGAGCAAACTTCTAGTCAAGTAGTTACAAAAATTTACACCAACTCAAAATCAAGCAGACAAGGAAATGTGTTCTTCACCTTCAGTTGCTTATGAACAGAGGTGCTCCCCCCGCCCCACCCCTACCCCCATCGTGAATTACTGGAGCTTACAATGGTGACATTTTCTCTTATAATGTACAGCTCAGGAAGGGACACAATGTACTGGTATGTCTGATTTCTACTACTTCTTCCATTGACTGCAGTCTTGTGTTCTCTCTGAGGTCTTTCAGACACTGGCTTGCTCTTCTTGAATAACGCTCTGTGGAAGGATGGGGCAGGTACAAAACAGTCAAACAGGGCACAGTTATATTTGCCACACCATGAGATCGTTGTGTCAAATGGATGCCAGGATGCCGCCTTCTTGGAGGAGTCTTTAAATATAATTGTTATAAAATAACCTTCGTTTAGCTATTTTGGAGGGTTGCTTTGTTTGTCTGTTTGTTTTAGAAAGGCACAGGTTTTTTCCTTTTGAAAATCTATTTTGGAAATCTCTGGTGAGAAACACACACAGTTCTGCTCCTCCCTTCTCCAGAGGTGAGGAGCCACAGAAGGTGGGTAGAGGCGGGGCCTAGTGCCAAGGCGGTAACACAGCGAGTTGATTTGCATACACAGGGTCAAGGCTCCCAGTCTGTGAGGTCTTTCTTAGGAATAAAGCCTTTTAGGATGAACCTGCACGGAGCTTACAGCACATTCCTCTGACTGCTGGGAGGGAGGCTCAGGCAGTTCCCTGCTTGCACCCCACAGCCCTACCTGCAGCCCTACCTTCTTGACTGGAAGGTCGGACTCAGGTTATGTCAAGTCTCAGAGGACATATAAAAGGGACAGTGAGAGCATCTGCCCTGATAGCATTTCCCAGTCTTTCTGTGTTTGACAGCACAGGGCAGATCTCAGATATTCCCAGTGAAACACAGGCTGGCAGGGTCACATGAGGAAACCACAGTGGGCAGCTAGCTCCAATGCACTTCCTCAATTTCCCACCAAGCACAAGTCATGACCAAGTACAAGGAGGCTACAGCACTCTCTTCCTTGGCCACTCCTGAAGATGCCTGGTTTCTATGGAGACCACAGAGCATCTTGGCCTTTTAGGACTTCAGCATCAGTTTGGAATGGTATTTCATAAAATAAGAACCAAAGCATTTTTAGTGAATTTTGTGTTTTCTCATGTCTCTTAAGGGATGCATTTGAACTCTGTAACTCATTTCACTCACAAACATAACCTGAATATGAAAAATTAGTGAGCCTAAAACTGGTTCATCCGTTATGACTGTTAATAATTACAGGAAAAGCTTCAATTGATTTTGATCATTCTAGCTCATTGTTCTTGACGACTTCTCCCCCAGCACATACTACTTAGGTTGGTGCTTCAGGCAAAGTTTCCTGAGAACTGTATGGTGAAGTGATATCAAGGCTGCGTGTAGACGCACTGTAGAGGGACCATTCAGCATCCAGCTATGACGAATTGCCTCCTCACTGGTAATAGAGCCCCCTGCTCTCCTATCCCCATCTCCGGTGTTGGTAAAGTCTGCATTTTCCCCCACAGACGGAATACTGGCACCTTGTTTCTAAGATGTAAGAACTTTCTGCTTTTGTTTAAGACAGGATCTCTCTACATAGACCTGGCTGTACTGGAATTCACTATGCAGACTAGGCTGGCCTTGAATTTACAGAGATTCACTTGCTTCTCCCTCCCGTGTGACACTCTGCATGGCTTATTTCCCACCTTTAAGGTTGGTAATAAATTTTCTTTAAAGCAAACAATGACCCTGGGGCAGTATTCTTCTGAATGAACAAAACATCCCTGAAGTCTTGCATGTGTGCACCAACTTGACACCCGTATAGGGAGGTGAAAGCAGAGGCCCAGACTTGCTGCAAGGGTACGGGGAGGTCATTTAGGAAAGGCGCCTAAAGAGCTGACGCCAGCTAAGAGGCATGTGCGCTCCATTAGACTCTTGCTTCATAGCCCAGGCTACCCTCCAGTCCACAATCAGCCCACCTCACCTTTCACATGCTGGGGAAGTAAAGGGCAAGTTTCTCAAGGTGGGGTGTGGGTTTGGAAGCTGGCTGTCTTTGTAACTACAGCATCATATCCAAACCACTGTAGGGTCTCCCACGTGTATTGATTTGCAGGTTGGGAACTAAGGAGTACACTAAATTGTTTTCTCTTTCATTTATAGAATTTGTTTCACTTAAAAAAAAGCTCCCTACCTAGGAGAGAGTCCCTTTAATCTATGAGCAATTTTCACATTAAAAAGTAATTAGCATTGGTGAATTCAGTTGGCTTGCTTCCGCATGACTCAGAAAGATGGAATTCACTAATTCATTCCTTCTCCCCAAACACAAAAGAAGGTAGAGATACTACCACTAACCTGCTCGATGGAACTTAGCGGCACATCCGTGTCTTCATCCTTGGGAGGGTGTATGTCAACTGAGCTTTTCTAGGAGCAAAACCCAAAAAATATCACCACCACTTTTCAAATCAAAGACACCTTGAAGATAAAAATGCCTCAAATGAGAAAGCATTTTTCTAAACTCCTTTACTTTGGGTTGAAAGTCATATAGCCTAATTCTACTGGGGAAAGTTCCTATTCCATAAATACCTATGAACATTGCTTTAAATTCTATTTTGCTTTGTTATGACAAGGCCTCACTATATAGCCCTGGCTGCTCTAGAATTCTCTCTGTAAAGCACGCTGGCTTCAAATTTATAGAGATCCACCTACCTCTGTTTTCCAGTGTTGGGCTTAAAAGCAGGGGCCACCATGCCCAGCTCATTAACTTAAATTTATATCTGCATTTCAATTCAACAGAGGTCACATGATCCTGTAGATTGGCTTTTCCCTATTCTCTGCTCTAGCAATTAGTGAATGTGGAAATAAAAATCAAAATGAAGAGATTATGATTCCAGAGTCATGTTGCCCAAACCCAAATTCTTCTGTAGATAAAGTGAGTATAGGCTATGAATTTTGCCAACTGAACATTTCAGGGTTTGAACATTAGCTAAGATGGAACTTCATTTTCACGTATTTTCTCAGAAAATGACTTTTCTACAATGTATAGACTTCAGACAAAGGTGTCATCTCGTATCAAGCATACCTCATATCAAGCAGTCATAAATTAATATATAACTGAACAACTAATAAATAATGAAGTGTGTAACCTCTGTTGACAAAGTATTAGCTAAGAAAGATAAATTTACATCGAATAATGAGAATCGGTGATAGAACTGGCTGATTATGGGAGTTGTTTATAAAGTAGCTGAAGATTCAAGCAAAGAAACGGTGTAGATTTCCTGTCATTTTTAATGTGATGGCCCTGCTACCATAGTGTGGTCACCACTCCAATTTCATGGAAACAATATAGACAGATCATGGTTACAGTGGAGCAGTCGGGGAAAGATTAAAAATAGAACGTACTTAATGCCCAGCTGTCAATCTTACATGACTCGGTGCTTGGGATATAGGACAGAGCCTTACAGTGCCCGGGACAGTGCCGTAAATGCTCACACAGAATTTGTGTCTTAAATGTCTCCAGTAGAGAACTGCATACTCTAGAGACCTGTTGAATATGTATTTAACGAATTATAGAAATAATTCCTGAAAGTATAGTGTTGTGCATGTCTCTAAAAATGGCCTTAATCATTAAAAAATTCACAGGGCGAAAACTGTGGTGTGAATTTTGAATAATTTCCTTCAGAAAGAGTGAGAATAGAAGCAAGGAGAGGTGGGACTGGAGAGACTGTGCGGTGGTTAGGAGCAGTTACTTAGTTACTGCTCTCACCGAGGACACGGGTTCAGTTCCCAGCATCCATACTAGGCTGCTTACAACCAGTTCCAGGAGACCCGGTCACTTCCGGTCTCTGGAGGCAATGCATAAACATGGCACACACACACACATGCGCACACACACACAATTACAATATAAATCTTAAAAAAGGAAATAAATAGAAGTTTTAAATGTATCTAAGTATGACATATTGACTTAAGTATTTTATTCATAAATTAAATACAAGTAGAAATTTGACTAGCGCATCTATATACGTCAACATATACTAAATTATATTTGGCAAGAACTTTGCGCAACCTTTCAATGGGGATATGATGAAGGGATTTATATTCGGGCATTGCCTTAAGTTTGGCAAGTGCAAAACCAGCTCAGTTGAGGATTCCCTGTCTTTATGTGCCCAGTTAAAAAGGATGGAGTTCTACAAAATTTTGCCTCTCTTTGTGTTCAACTGTACTCAGAAGAATATGTCACCCAAACTTCTTCACACTGATACTTAAAGCAAAATGGACCGCTGAACTCTTACCTTTGTTATTAGACTGATTAAGTAATAAATGAGAAGAATAGTTCCAACGATACCAGCGATCACCCCCAAAACAATGGCGATCGTCACTACGGGAGAGGAGAGGAAGTGAAAAGGCAGCTGTGTCATTTGAGAAACTGAACAGGGTGATATGACCTTGCCTGCTCACAGAAAACGCGTTAATACTTCATAATTTTGCTCACATATAATCTTTAAAAACTTTGTATTTTAACAGTCACCTTGTGGGAACCTGGAACTTTATGCTCACTTGGCCACACAGAGGATTAACACTTAACCCCACCCCCGAGTTCTGATGCCAGCTAAGTTCAGTGTTCTTTGCAGGCATAATATCAGACAAGAGTTTGCTGATATTCACCATTGACTGGGAAAATCCACAAACTCTCTGATGGTTTGAACATGATGAGAGAAAACAAAGTTCTCACGTATCGAAGGGTATAAAATAGACCATAGAATCACAGGTTTGGAAGAATCACAGCTTACAAATGAGGAAATCAAGTCAAATGAATCTGAGCTACCCAGTCAGACAACGGTAAAACAGAACTGGTCACCTGTGTTCTAAGCGTTGCCTTGTTATGGCCCAAAGCCTACACGCTCATGGATACAATGACAAATACTTCTGTGAACTTTTGCAGATTGGGAAGGAAGCAATTTAAAACTAGTAAGTTGAGGGGACTTCCCCATTTGTCCAGACTATTTATAGTGCTGATCAAAGAAGCAAACGGAACTGAGGGCGAGACATACAGATAAAATACTCACTCATTTGGCCAACTTATGTCTTAAAAACAATTATTTGTATTATTAATAAATAAAATTATTAATTTTAAAAGCAAAAATAGCTTATAAAAGTGTAGCCTTTTCATCCACTTGTGTGCAGCCTCCTCCACCAATGAGCTGTAACTTGTGAGCATGTGGCCAAGTTCTCCAATCACCTTCTCTCCCACACGAAATGTGATCATTGGCCAAGTAGTAAGGGAGAGCTGAAAACTGCAGGGTGGTGAAGAAGCACACTCGTGACCTACGCCAGTCCACAGCAGCTCCAAGGGCAACAGACGTGACGTCAGTTAGAAGGAGTATGGCTGAAGGTAGATTAGGACTGAGACATGGATCATCCTCATTTATTTTTGATATGATGACAGCTAATTAGTTGGAAGAGGAACACTCAGGTTTTTTTTTTTTTTTTTTTTTTTTATAAATGTCCATAGTTGGTTAAAAAAAAAATCTGAGAAAAACAAAAGACCCAATCATGTATTGCTACTTCCAAACTTAAAAAAAAAGTTCTTCCTTTAAAATCAGAAATATTAGCTTTTATCACTGAACCTAATGACATATATTCTTCTCTTTTAACATGGACCCTGGTCACTTCTTAGATACAAGAAACGATAATGCTACAATTTAAAAATGGAATAATTTTGTCATTTCATTAACACAACAACATACCTGGTTCATTAAAAAGGTGTACCATTCTTGCTGAAAAATAAAGTTTTCCAAGTAAGTCAGAATAATAAGTAGAATATGTCTTCACAAAAAAGTTTTGAAATTCGAGGATTTCTGCTGTGGGATAATCTTTCTGTACACTATGAAAATGTGTGGCTCTATTGTTAATAAGAAGCTGGTTGGCTGATGGCTAGGAAGGATTTCAGGGCAGAGAGGATGCTGGGAGGAAGAAGGGCAGAGTCAGAGGAGTAGTGAGCCAGATGCAGAAGAAACAACAGGAGAAGTTCATAGATGAGGAAACGAGCCTCGGGCAGCACACAGATGAATAGAAAGGGGTTAAACTGTAAGTGCTAGCTAGTGTCAAGCCTAAGCTATTGGTCAACATTTTTTTTTAAAAATTTATTTATTATGTATTCAGTGTTCTGCCTGCATGTATCCCTGCAGGCCAGAAGAGGGCACTAAATCTCATTACAGATGGTTGTGAACACATGTGGTTGCTGGGAATTGAACTCAGGACCTTTGGAAGAGTAGGCAAAGCTCTTAACCACTGAGCCATTTCTCCAGCCCCTCTATTGGTCAACATTTATAATTAGTATTAGTCTCTGTGTGGATATTTGGGAGTGACTGCTGAGAAGCAGAAAAGCTCCGCCTATAGACTTCCGTTTTTCCTTTTGTGTTTATAATTGAATTGTATTTCTCCTTTCCTTTTTCTCCCTCCAAACTCTCCCATGGACCCTTCATCACTGCCCTTCAAATTCATGGTCTCTTTAAAAAATAACAACTGTTATTGCGTGCACACATGTATACGTATATACAAATATATTTGCAAATATCCATGGCTAAATGTTCAGTCTATATAATTCTGCCTGTATATATGTTTTCAGAAAACCACAGGCAGCTGAGGAATGCTGGGAATGGGAGGGATGGCCTTCCCTAGGGAAGAGCTCACCAATTGGTTGTCCAGGGCCAAAAGGATTTCTTATTCTTAACCATTTTGGGTGTGTGGGGGTTATTGGCCACTTTCCAACCTTCCAAATGGTAAAGTGCTTGTGTTGGTTCTAATACGTGTTTGAACACTTGGTTCTTCAGCTAGTGGAAGTCTCTGCGAAGGCTATGGGAGGCGCAGCCTCGAGGGAAGAAGCATGCCGCTGGTGTCAGGCTGTGGAAGCTGCAGCCTTGCCTCCCTTCCCAGTGGCTCTCTCTGCTTTGTATGTGCAGTTGCAGGTGTGACTTCCCCATGCTCCCCTCCCCTGGAATCCCAAGTCAAGAGAGCTCTCCCATAAATTGTTATTAGTCCTGGTGCTGTTTTAGCAGCAGACAAGTACCTAACGCAATGTATTAAGAAATACGCCATTCTTACTTCTAGGAATTTCAGTGTGGACTTTTTCACTACCCAACAAATATTCACGGGTGAGCCGGGCGGTGGTGGCGCACGCCTATAATCCCAGCACCCAAAAAAAAAAAAAAAAAAAATTCACGGGTGAGAAGCTTGCCAACCAGCTTCTTAACCGGCGGGGGGTGGGGAAAAGAGAATGTCAGAGGGACACCATCACGGAAACGGGAAAATGGTGCGAACAGTAGAGACGCCCAGCCAACAGTCCACACACCCTATTCCCTAATCCAGCCTAAGGAAGCTCACATGGCTATCCATCATCTAGATTTATACCACAGCAGCGTCTGAATCCCAATGCTTACTGTGCCTCATTTGAACGTTTGGCAACGGTGCCACCAGACTGCCCATTTGTTAAGTTTTCTGGCTGTTTCCTCAAAGCCTTAACAGAATCAATCTTCCCCCACAAGTCCATACCATAGAATTTTTTTCTAGCATAGAGACAGGGTTTCTCTATGCTTTGTGGTTTTGGAGCCTGTCCTGGAACTAGCTCTTGTAGACCAGGCTGGTCTCGAACTCCCAGAGATCCGCCTGCCTCTGCCTCCCGAGTGCTGGGATTAAAGGCATGCGCCACCACCACCCGGCTCACCATAGAATTTTTTCTCTGCTGCTCTTTCACCCGTGAAGCCCTCACACCTCCACAGTTGAAGCCTCCTGTTTGTATTACCAACAATGTCTCGTGGAATATGGTATCACACAGCCAAAAATTTGGATATATTTTGCTGCTCTCCAAGACTGAGAATTCTAGAGTGGCAAAACATATGCAAAAAAATAAAGGTTCATCGAAGTTTGTTATCTCTGTCTTCAGGACTGAGCGTCTATGCTTTGGAGTCAAACACAGGACACGCTATATGGGTTCTTAAGCAGGCTACATAATTTCTCCACACTTTACAGTTTTTTTTTCAGAGAAAATGAGAATTAAAATCTTTATGTCTCTAGGTTGTTGTTAGACTCTAATTTCTGATGCATGAAAATGCTCTACCACCTTAGCTGTCCTTTATAGAGTCTATGTCGTGTAGCGCTGTGTCTACCATGGGCCCTACGTGTTTTCCAGCTGACATTATCATGTTGGCTCCATGTTGAAGTTAACCGTCAGTGAGACTGTTAGTCAGATCCATGAGCCCAAAAGGTAGTCAAAGCACTGGGCCTAATTTTTCTCCCTTAGATTCTGAAATCCAGTGCTTCCATTCTTCTCCGTAGATACTTCTCAATAATTCCAACTCACTTACAACCCTGAAGCCATTTGGAGGCTTTCTGAGACTCTAGTTTAAATGTGGAGTACCTTCTCCAAGTCCATCCACAGAAGACCTTCTACCTTTTTCCTTTCAGAAAACTAGACAGATGGACACACATACACACACACAGAGAGAAAGAGAGAGAGAGACAGAGAGAAAGAGAGAGAGAGATTGCACAAGCACCTGGGCCACAGGCTCACCCTTATCTCAACACCCAGCCGATCAGTTTGCAGGCATTGGGGCCTGACTGGACGTGGGCCTGCTCTCTGACTTAGCTCCCATTTAATCTGTGGAGAGACACTGCGGGGCAAGCATGACTGGCTTCCTTTTAAGAGTAATGGCATGGAGGTCTCTCAAGGCAATTCATTCAAGGTTTGTAGGGAACAAGGCCAGCCCAGACTCTGTAAGGCCTCCCTCCTAGGTCCTTTCGTTGGCCCACACAATTCCAGGTCTGATTTATCATTTGGGTACCTTCCTAGCTGCAGTTTCTTTGGTTCACAGTGTTGTTTCTATGAGCTACTCCAAGAGCAGAGCGCCTGAGCAGCAGGAGCCTGGCCCCTTAGCTTGCACTTTTCAGTCTTGGTCAGTTTCCCTACAGTCACCAGCTGGATCCCACTGAGGAAATCTCCATCACTATACAGACTCCATGTGAGTAGGTGAAAACGCAACAAACCTCTTGGCATGCTGCTGGGAACTTCAGGAGTGACAGACGTTTCATTGAGAGACATATTATTTGTTCTGACGGTAATACCTGTGTAAAACAGAAGTCGAGAAAGGGCATAAACATGAAGCGACTGGGTGCTCCATAAAACACTCAGCCGAAGACAATTTCAACCCACGCCCTTGGTGGCAGCTTCAGGACATCTATGCAACAGAGACACAGAGGCAGGGTGCCTTAGTTTTCTCAGCTCTGAAGTGATCATACCTCTGGTGGTATCTTGCAGAAAGTCACCACCAGACTTAGACGGCATAGACATTTAGGTACAGAACCAATAATATCACAGATGGTCTAGAATTTGAGACGTCATTGCAGGTTGGGGGAACTACCAGTGCTTTATAGTTCATGAGAAGAAAGGGACGGAGAAGTGGATTGACAGTGGAGGAAGAGGCTACAGGGACCGGCAGGCACCACACAATGCGGGCCACTTGTGAATGTGCACGTTGTCCTACACTGCAGTTCCAATAGGTGACAACCACTGTCAGTAGCATGCAGGTGGAAGTGGATAAAGAGAGCCTGACTGGGGAGCTGCATGAGGGCAGTCCCTCCTTGTAGTCAAGAACACTCCCGATAAGCAGTCCCCTTGCACACAAGCCGCTCCTCCACGCAGGGAGTCCTTATCACTCCTGAACATTGCCTTAATAGAGACCTGGCGGTTTAAATTGCTTTTGGGCAAAAGCAGGCAGAGACAGTGTAGAAACAAAGCATACTGAGGATATGGCTTGGCTCTCATCAGGACTGAAGGGCGGAAGCTCAATTCATGTGACATTCATGTGCCATCAAACGCTGTTCTTTTGCTTTCCTGAGCTCTTAAAAATATAAAGTCCATAAGCTGTAGATTGCACAAAACCCACAGGCTGTGCATAGTTTCTCAGCCCCATATTTGTCTAATCAGCATATTTGGTTATGGAACCCAATTATGAGGGTTCTTAGATCCCCTGAGACGATCGCATCATGCAGAAGTTAGTATATGCCTACACTAATGACCCATAACGTTGCTGATACGTTTTCAGATGGATCTGCCTCACTGTCTCCTCCCTAAATACTTTACTGCTCCAAACTGAGGGCATCCACAGCCTATGAGGCCCCTGAAGTTTATTCAAGGCCCATATAAGTCATTGGCCATTTGGCTCATGTACAACTTTGCCCATCTCATATAGGATCCATCAAGACATAAAGGTGACCAATAGAATAATGGACAAATAGCCTATATGACTTCCCACAGTCTGAAGATTCAAATTTCCCGAGTTCGAAACTCATGATGAAAAAACAAAACAAAACAAAAAACAGACAAGCAAACAAAAATTCCAGTGTTTGGATTGTGGTGTTGCCCTAGACATAAAGATCAGAGGGATAGAATTGAGAGTCTAGAAGTTAATTTATATCTTTGACTAACTGATTTTCAGAAGGCTGTGGAGGACAGTCAACGAGAAAAGGTCATATTTTCAATGACTGCTATGCTCACATACAAAAGGGTAAAGTGAATTTTCTTATGTCGTCTAAGAACATTAACTCAAGATTTATTGAAGATATATATGCATATACAATATGTGTCTATACATTGGAACTATCGTATAGAATATATATAGTATATGTGCACACATAGGAAATATCATATAGAATGTGTGTGTGTGCGTGTGTACATACACTGTATGTATAAAAGACTATTCCTGGAAAAAAAGGTAGAGATATATTTTATAACCTTGAATTTGGAAAAATGGTTCTTTGTATATGAAAACATAAACAAAAGCAACAAGATAGAAAATAGAGTTTATAAAAATACATTAAAATGACAGTACCAAGGGCAGAAAGATGACCCCAGTATGGAAGGAAATATCTTCAAGCTATGTGTCTGAGAAGATAACATCTAGAATATACAAAGAGTTTTTATAACTATACAACAGAAAGATTTAGACATTGTAAATTTAAATAGACATTTTCCTCCAAGATATACATGAAATGAAATCGGCCAGCAACTGTGCTAAAAGTTACTGGGGAAATGCAAATCAGAAACACTGTGAACTCCATGCCACACCAGAGAACATGGCTACGAGGCGGTCAGCCAAAGCAGTGTGGATTGGCGTATGACTTTCCATGTGGTGATCAACATGGAAAAGGTCATGGGCATACAGGCTTCCCTCACCTTTAGAGGCCTTCAATAGTACCCTAGACTTTCAACACTGTGCATGAAATAGGCCTTCCTTAGATGGTTCTGCCCAACTGTAGGCTAACACAAGCACTCTAAACACACTTAGGAGAGGCTGGCCTAAGCTGGGAGCTTTAGTAGCTTAAGAGTATCAGGTTTGTGTTTTTCACTGTAGCATGCGGTCCTTACCGCAGGGTAAGACAAGGACCATCAGCTAGTCACAAGATGAAAATTACAAGTGTGAGCAAAGATCTGGAGAAACTGGAACCTTTACAGTCTAGGTGTACATATACATGCATACACACACACGCATACATACACACAATAAACAGTATTGGGGCCAACTCAGCAAACAAAAATGCAGTATCTGACTCCATAATTCTACCTCTGTGATTACCGACATGGGCATCCCCCCAAAAAAGTCGCAAAAGAATAATCATAGCAGCCCGTTTCACAAGAGCCCAAATGCACATATTTCTATTAAATCTCTGCCAGCCGATGAATGGATAATTAATGCATTCAGTAGAATAACTTCCAGCCATAAAAAGGAATAAATACTTCATGTTCCAACCAATACACACATATATACATGCTATCCTAGGAGAAACAAGCCTCACGAATGCCACCTGTTGTATTAATCTATTTATCTGAAATATGAAAAACAAATCCGTAGCAGAAGAAAGAGAATTAGCAGTTGCTATGGTACTGTGGGCATCGGGGAGAGGCTGACTGGTAACCAACATAAGATGGCTTTTTAGAATAAGGAAGATATTCTGAAGGCAGACAGCGGTGACAGATATACAGCACTCTGGGCAAACCAAACACTTAGGACGGCAAAAATGGTGAACTTTATGCCAAGCATATTTCATGCTGGTAAAAATGAAGCAACTTTTTTTGGGGTTGGGATATTGGTGGAGCATGAGGATACTACAGACGAACTGTCTAGATTTGCACACCGACTTTGCCGCTCACTGGCTAGAGGTAAGTTCTCAAAACATTTTAAACTCCGGTGTCTTTCATCTGCAAAGAACTTGTAGAGTAATAAGACAAGCACGTGAAAGGTTTAGACTGGGGCTTGGGTCAGGCTTCAGTAAGAACTCTTTACGACGTCTCATTTTCTTGTGACAAATACACACAATATTTGAGTATATATCATAACCCCGTTCAACCAGAAGCAATAGAAGCCCATCTATTTTTGAGATGGTTTCTGTGACGTAGAGACCCTACTTTCTCTGTGACTGACTGTGTGCTTTTGTAGCCTTGGACACAGAGTTCCAAGGGGTTCCTAACAGCACTGAGTATGCGTGGTTGCTAGCTGCATGCAAACTGCTGGGAAATATTGACAAAGTGAGGTCCTGGGTGGTGGGGGCCTGGATAGGAAAAAGGCCAAATGGTCCTCAAAGCAGATCTCACTTTCAGCCCAACCTGGAAGATACACAGCAAACAGAACCCCTTTGATATGTGTCTACACACATTTTTAAGCACTAAAATTTCTTCCCTGAGGTGAGGAGTTGGTTTTCTGAATTCTGTCAGGTTCCTTGCTTCAATGGAACAGTGTCTTTGTTCTATACCACCTTACAGGAAGCTCAGTCAGTTGCTGAATTTGAGCCTCATGCGAACATCTCAGAAGATATCTGTGGAGGAGACGAGGGTTGGAACTCTCTTCTCAAATCTGTCTGAGATGAGCATGGAGCAAGAAAAAGGAGGGAAAGATGGGCAACGCTTCGGGGGCCATTCCCAGCTCGGAATTAGGCGCTGGCCAGAGCAGCACCTCATTCTGGGGATATGGTAGAAGTCTTCAAGCAGTGGGGTGGCCTGAGGTCCTATTTATAGCAGCTTTTCTCATACTCTTAGTTACAGAAAGTGTGACTGTTTGGTGCCCAGGAATGAATTCCCACCTCACAGTAGGAACAAGCCTCCTGAAACCCTAAGATGAGAAACTGCTACCCATGGTTGGCCTCATGCGTTCACTCTGACTTCTTGCTCTTTCCCCCACTGTATCCTCTGAGTGTCAGTTTTACCACAAACCTTTAAACAAATTTTAACAACCACAACAGAGTGCACAGTATTGTGTATCTTCCTCCATTGACCTTAAATCACTGCTGGCTAACACAGGCTTCCTAAGAAGCAGGGCTGTGTTTGTTCAGTTTGCTTTTCTAAATCTTTTAAACATTTCTTCAGTGCACGATATAATTGATTCTCTCTGCAGAAAAATTCCTGCTTAGTAAAAAGGCAAGAGAAAGAAACTCAGGAGACTACCCCCAGAGGGAGCCGTGGGATGCTTCTGGCCAATGTTTTAGTGTCAGGGTTGCTGGACCCAGATGTTGCAGATGTGCCTTACTGGAAACTCAGATAACATGCAATGACTTGAAACCTATTAAGTAAAAACACAGAACCTACCTGATACTGGATAATGTTGGTAATGTACAGTTGAAGTTAACAGGGGAGTGGGCGATGGGCTAGGAGAGTCTATAACAAAAGACAGAGAAGTTAGTTAAAATGAGCCTCCCACAGCCCACAGAGAACTGACATCTCACCCCAGCTAGAATGGTAATTAAAAACACTTCTTATTTTTATTTTATAGTTACATTTGCTTGCATGTGTGTATGCGCATCTTTATGTACCTGGTGCCCGTGGGAGCCAGAAGTGGTACCAACTCCCTTAGAACTAGAGTTACAGACAGTTGTGAGCTGCCATGTGCCTGCTAGGAACCCAGGGTATTCACAAGTGCAACAAGTGCTCTTAATCGTGGAAATGTGTTGTACGAAAACATAGGTCCTACCCAATTCTGGCAACAATGTCGAATGCTCTTCTTTGTGAGCTAACGTTGAAGGTCTAAGAAGGGCAGTTACAAGAGAATGGCCTGTAAGGAAAAGGCAGGCAAGTTATTTAAAATGTGCTCCCCACAGCCTCAAGAACAGCACAAAATCCGTCAACTATTCATCTGGCAGAACACGCCAAGAATTCCTATACTTAAAAACACAAAGAAATCCTTAAAACTAGAGAAATGACACATACTTCTTGAAAAAATCAAGGAGACCACAGGTGTGTGGAGGAGCTATTATTGCACCCCATCTGGGACAGCTATTCAAAAAAGAGTTTTTTTATTTTTAGTTTGCGGGTATGAGTGTTTTCTAGCATGTATGTTTGTGCACCTTGTGCTGATGGAGGCCAAATGAGGCATCAGATTCCCTAGGACTGGATCTTTATAGAGAGTTGTGAGCTGCCAGGGGGGTGCTGGGAACTCAGGTCCTCTGTAAGAGCTACAAGGGTTCTGAATCACAGAGCTAGCTTGCCAGGATCACACTGTACAACCCTGACTGGCTTACAATGTGCTGTGTAAACCAGACTGGCTTGAACTCATGGAGATTTATCAGCCTATGGCCCTGAGTGCTGGGTTTAAAGACATCCGTCATGCTAGCTGGAATAGGTATTCTTAAAAAAAGAAAAAACGAATGAGTGTTGGGGACTGGGAGTAAATGTAACACTTATAATGAGTTGGTAAGGACATGGATTCCTGCATGTCACTGTGAAGCATATTTTGCTTAGATGAGGCCAAGGGAGAGACAATGATTCGCCTCAATGTTTTCTGGACTTTTAGATTTGAACCCAGTTCTGCTGTTTCTTGAACCCGTAGTTTTAATCCCCGCCTCATTCCATCTGCTGGGGAGTCTGACTCTCATTGCTGCATCCCACAGAAGGCTCTGCATAACCTTTCTCAGGCCCAGTTCACAGCTAAACCTATGGATAAAACAAGACTTCACGCAGTTGCCTGCTCCTCATCCACCTTCTGGGCCCTTGTGTTTCTAACACAGATTCACTGTGTTAGATAGAACATTGTTTAAAATATCCCCAGAAGGAGGCCAAAAGAAATAAGGCTACTTTAAAAGAATTTAATAATACATGGACTTTATTTTAATGAACACACCAGTTTAGATTCACCGTGGCCATAGAACACTTAAACCAATTAAAAGTTTTTTTTTTTAAATTTTTTAATTTTATTTTTTATTTTTGTTCAGTAACAGTTCCACAAAGAGAAACCCTTCATGGTTCTGAGCTCACACTCACGCACAACCTGTCTCTTTTCAGCAGGAGAAACTGCATATATTACTTTTGAAAAAGAAAGGCCACAATCTATCCTAACCTTCACTACTAATGTTATTTGGAAGTAAGTTTCTTTATAGCCCAAACGAAGTAACGTGTTTATTTATATAAAGATATTACTCATACTCGATACAATTTCTTTAATTCTGTCTAGTCTTAGAGTTGAAGCAAATTTCTCATACTGGGAGACTGTAATTCAGCCCCAAATAGTGGGTTGCTTTGTACCACTCTTGTCCCTAGCTCCCATGCCAGCCGAGTGCTAGAAAACCCACCCAGCAGACTGAAATTAATACACACTCGATTCATTTGCTCAGTTAGGTAAGAAAACAAAAATGGGAACAATTCCAGGTTTCATAAATAAAAAAGTCGAAACTACTCACCTGCCGTGGGTGCCTCACTGGACACGTTCTCTTGCATATTGGGAGTGTCACTTAGCTCCCCATCAGAAAGGCTAAATGTTATTCCCTGGCCCTGCCCACTTGCCAGTATCTCTCAGGTCCACCTTCCCCGGGGGCCCTATCAGTTGGTACACCCTGGAGGGCATTTAAATGATGCAAAATTATTTAGTGTCTGTTAATAAAGATAACCAGAGGGCTGCCTAACTAAGGCAGGACGTGTGTAATTAAAAAAAAAATCTTCGTTTCAAAGAATTGCCCGCTGAGTTAAGTTTACTTTATGTAAATGAAGTGGGCAAGGCAGGGTAGCTGCAGGAACCTCTCAGCTGGACAACGAGATAAGGTCCAGGACAGTGCTAGACTGCTGTAGACTAGGAACAGGGAGGACCTTCTGGCTCGTTAAGAACGAGACTTCTTGTGTGTGAATTGAATGCCCTTGGGAACTGAAAAGCTTTCAAACTTGTGACAGTTCAAACAGTAATGAAAGAAAGGAGACAGGGGAAATCTTTCACGAAACTGGAATGCGAACTCAGCTCCAGTGTCCACGCGGCTGAGCAGTTTCCTTTTAAATGCACCCAAATAACAAAAGTAAACAGTAGAAAGCAAAAGCCGGCAAATCCCAAGACCCGCTGTAAAGCAGGTTAGGAGGAAAGGTGAGCACCGCTAAGGAGATCCGTGCTAACAGGAAGCGGGACACGACCCATACAAATCCCACTTGGGCTCAGGACGCAGGAGAGCAAAGATGCTTTGAAAGTCTTCGGAACACTCGGCAGCTTTCCTCGGCTCTCAGGAGCCGGAAGTGACCTTGAGCTAAAACAGAGTCGCGCTTCTTCGGGTGTTCTTGTTGCCCTGTCCGACCCGGACTAGAGAAATGCTAAACCTGGTGACTTCTCAAGGTGGACGTCAGTGCAGAAATGGAGCCATGTGGCGACATCTAGCGGCTGATCTGCAAAATAGAAAAGAAATGTGAAAAATACAACCGGAAAAAACATTATATTAGACCTTCCTGTATTTCTGTTGACCAAAGCAAACCATGGGCAAGCTGGCATCAGCAAGACAAGGAACTATGGTTTTTCCTAAGCAGATTTCTGTAAGCCCCATGGCAGGGGCTAAGCCATTTATTAGGAATGCCTGTACACACTCACTTAACATTTGCACTGTGTTGTGGAATAACCTTTTTCTGCACTTTGTGCTGTCTCCATCTCCTCGCTGGCCGTTTTCACTGGTTGAAGACCCAGCCTTCATTGCCTCTAGGTCCCCTTCTGGAACCTGCAGGGTGAATTAGACACACACAGAGGCACTTGCAACATTGGATGCTGACAATGGTCAGAGGGCACTGTGGTTGTGGACAGGAGTGCTAAACCAAGACTGGGGGCTCAGTTTGGGGCAGCTTTCTCAGAGAAAATAACAATACGTAATGAATGAGTGATCAGAGCAAGGGAGAAGAAAGAACAGGGGAGGCAGAGAAAAGAGCGTAAGAAATGACAACACTAGACGGACAGACAGACAGGCAGATAGATGATCAATAGATAATAGATAGATAAGAGATAGATGATAGATAGTAGGTAGATAGATAGATGATAGATAGTAGGTAGAGTTCCAGAAGCATCTCAGAGAGTAGGGAATGCCTACCTTGAATGTGGGCAACACCATCCCCTGGACTGGGGTCCCATGTCAGGGTCCAACTTCAATGGATTCATATGTTCCAGGGTAGGGACATGTGGATTAGAAATATTAGGCAGAAAAAACAGAGATACAAAAGAATTAGAGACACAGAATAGAATCAGGAGGGCAAGCAACCCAGTGAACACTGAATTCACCCACGTTTATTTTCTGTATGCTTACATACCCAAATCCAAAAAGGGGGGGGGAAGAAAGCAAAAGACTTATTTACTATGATACAAAGAATAGGCAGAGCAATTAGCTCTTCAATGCCTGAAACATCTAGTAACTATATCCTGAGCTGAGTATTCTGTTGTTTAGGCAGGACATGCAGTGGCCACACCTTAGGCCAAGCATCCCATTGGCGGTCACACCCTGGGTCAAACCTCCTGTCATAACCATGGAGGAGCAAGAATAGGCCTGGACTCTCTGACCTTTGGTCAAGGTGGGACAGATCCACATCCATGGACTCCAATAGTTCCTTACTGAATAGAAGGGTGAGAGCAAGCTGCGTACCAGCGTTTATCTCTTCGCTTCCTGACTGTGACCATGGCATGGCCTGCTGGGCCTTTCCTCCATCGACCGACTTTAGCTTCAGACCGTGAGCCCTGAGAAGCCCTTCCCTTAAGTTCTTTGTTACAATGAGAAAAGTACCACAGACAGGCGCACTGCTGATTGATTGTCAGATTTATGCAGCATAAGGGAGTTTTATTAATTTTACATTTCCAGCTAAAGAAGCACAAACCTCCTTCATTTGTTTTTTCTACTTAAAAATATTGATGGAATTTACTTTTTAATTCCAAGAGTTTAAATATACATCTTTTTTATATTCACTTAACGTGAATATAATATCTTTTTTTAATATTCACTTAACGTAATTCCGTTAAATCGCCAATTTGCTTCTATGAGTATCCAGCCACATGACCACGGGCATTTATTTACCATCTGAGCTTGGGAGGGCCCCAGTAAAATGCTTGATGAAGGCCGCTGGTAGTGCTGATCAGTAAGGAAGCTCTGTCTCTGGTTTCTGAGAGGTTTTATTTTGCACTTCACCAAACACTTTTACTGTCGTTCTGGTATTGATACCATTTTCTTCATTGCTCTGTCAATTTAAAGATTTTCACTTTTTTTTGAATTGTAAAACAAGTCAGCCTATATGAAGTGAGTTAATGTTTTGTATATAAGGTTAGATTTGAGGATATAATGAGGGTTTCTGCATCCAGCTATGTGAGAAACACCACCCTGTGTTTTCCTTTCGAATAATGTCTTGCCAAGTTTTGTTAACAAGTTTACTGTGGGCTCCTAAAGTGAAACAGAAAATATTCTTTTTAATGGTCTGACTTTGTAAAAAGATTAATATTTGTGGGCCGGGGAGATGTCTCAAGGGTGAAGAGTACTGGTTGCTCTTCCAGAGGCCCTGGTTTGGTCAGAACCTTCTTGAACTCTGCACAGGGGATCGAATGCCCTCTTTTGGCCTCTGGGAACATTGTACATCCACAACATTCAGACAAACATGCAGGCAAAACACTCACACATAAAATAAAGCCTAGAAAAATCTAAAAATTAATACTAATTACTTCTTAGTATGTACAATATTTGGCAATGAAAATATCTAGGCCCATCTATTGTCACCAAATGAAGCTTCCAGTGCCAGGGCTGAGCTTCATCTATCTGAGTTGTTAGCCAAAGGGGTCCCGTGAAAATCCCCAAACAACCCAGCTGCTGACAAGAGGATAGATTGCTTTCCACAACTGACAGCAAAGCCCCGCTGCTGAAGACAACACACACAACTCCTTGAACATAGAGAGGTCCAGCTGGTGTCTACACAGAACCTTTACTCCCATATTCTACTGTGGTGTTTCTCAGTCTTTCTAACGCCCCAACCCTTTAATACAGCTCCTCATGCTTTGGTGACCCCAAACATAAAATTATTTCTGTTACTACTTCATAACTGATTTTGCTACTGTTACGAATTGTAATGTAGTATTTGATATCTTATACGGAACCATTGTGGGGGTTGCAACCCACAGGTTGAGAGCTGCTGTGTCTATTACATAGAAAGGCCACCAAAAGAGAAAAGGAACCAACCCAACTACAAAGCCTTTGACCTACAGTATGTCCTACCTGCAAAATATGCTAAGTCAATGGTGGCTCAAAGCTTGTGGAAGTAACCAGCCAATGTCTGATTTGACTTGCGGCCAACTGGATCGCATAGAACCCATATATTATACTGCTTGGATGATTAAAAAAAAAAAAAAAAACCAAACCCTAGGGTCTAGGTAGCCCAGGAACCTAGAACAAAACAAAATAATATTGCTCTAAAAATTGTAACAATGAGGCGGGCGGTGAGTCTGGAGCAAGCATGCAGTTTGTGCTCTGCGCCTCCCCCTCGGCACGTCTAGGGCTTGCTGCAGCTCGGGGGTGCTGCGCTGCCCCTGACTCCCCTCCGAGCGATGGTGCGGCCTGAGGACGCTGACTCGGTCCCTCAGTCCATGGCCGTCTTGGCGCCGCCTCCACCGGACAAGCTGGAGGGAGGCAGCGGCCCAGCACCGCCT